GGGAATCCCGAGAATACCATCTTAGTGAAGCGGTTCATCGGCTGGAAGCCGTCGGAGGTTGACGAGGAGGCCAAGCAGGTTTCGTACAGGGTTTTGAGAGATGAGAACGGGAATGTGAAACTCGATTGCCCGGCGATTGGGAAGCAATTTGCTGCTGAAGAGATCTCGGCACAGGTCAGTTTTTTTTTTCTTATTTGTTATTTTGGTTTCTTTTTTTTAATTGTTCCTACGTTATTTTATTTTAAGCTGAAAATGGTTTTGTTCCTAAATTGTCAACATGAATTGTTTTTTTAAATTTGCTAATTCATTATGGCGTTTTAGTGAATGTTCTTGACTTGAGTGTAAAAGAAAATTTTGGTATAAATCTTGAATTTGTTCTCGGATTTATAGGCATCAGTTCCTTTTTCTACAATAAAAATGATGAAGGAAGGTTAAAGCTTTATCATTTTGTTACATAATCAGCTGTACCTTGCTTGCCACAGGCATCTTTATATAACTAATTTTCATTTTGGCTTTTAGTTGGTGGAAAAAAAATTATTTGTTGTCTTTAATATTACTTTTAACTTGCTGATGGATTAATGGTGAATTACTTGGAGTTTAGTTTATGGCTTAACTTCACCTTCACAATTTCTTATCAGTTCCAAGGCTGTGGATATGTTACTCTGCTATAGCTGTTACAGTTGAAGTCTATTTTTTTGAGCATCCAATCATATGTTTTGTCATGATTTTTAATACCTTTATTGTTTAACTTGTCTAATTTTGGTTATGTAATATAGATGGCTATACAAAGCATTGAAGAATTCGGTGAATGATGATTTGATCCCTTGAAAATGTGCTTTAACAAATACATTCTTAAGATCTATTTTAACAGTAGGCAAAAGCAGAAATGGGTGTTGGCATCGTGAGAATGTTGGAGCAATCCTTAATAGAGAAGATTGTGCGATTGAGTGCATGTAAGAGAAGTTTGCATAGCGCGTCATCAATTGGAGGCTCCAAGCAGGGGACAAAACTCTGAAATATTATCCAAATTCAAAATTATTGTCTACAAAAAAGAGCGATCTTGCCACCAGGTTGACTTAACGGGATTGCCCCCAGCCAAGGTTTGCATGGGCGGTTGATTTGCTGCAGATGGTAGTTGGCATAAGTTTGTCATTGGTGAATAGTATGGTCATCATAGTTCTCTACATTAGGAGTGCAACATAGATGAAGGATCAAAAAACCCAATTGTGGGATCCAAAACAATGTTGCAGATTTGGGAGAATTCCTTTCCTTTTCTTTTATACCATTCGTTTCCATTGGCGTGGGTAAGCTCACAATGTTGTTCCCTGTAAGCTAATTTTTTGCTGAGGCTGAAAATTATGTTGCAAAAAGTGTAATCGTGGTAGAATGTTAAGGTTTGTGATTTCTATAACTTTCTGAAAAGATGGTTTTCCTTTCTCATTATTGCCCCATTTTACCCCTTTCCTCATCTATATTAAAGGATTTGATTTTCAAATGTATTTTTTCCATTGATCATTGCTTTTTACGCGGTAATATTTGATTTTTGTTAGCTTATGATGGTTGATATTTGTATTTTTCTTATCTCATTTCTTATCATGAAACCTACTTAAGATGATCACCAACATTCCCTAGCTTTTGTTATTTCCCATTTGCTATCACCTCACGCTCCCAAACGATTAATGAATGATGCTTGTTAGCTACGAACAGATAATACTTGTCATCGTGGGCATCAATGTCTTCTCTTCTTAGTAGAAAGGCTAAGCAGAATTCCTACCATTACCTAACTTTGGACTATCCCTATCAATTGTCTCCTACTAATGATTGATGATTGGCATTCGTCAACCATGAACATCGGATGCATGTCTTCCATGTCATATGATCTCCCCCTTATTAAAACAATGTCCAAGTTATCTTGCCAACCATCGTTTGGCGTCTGCTAGCAATCGATGATTGATGTATGTTAGTCACTAAATTTCAATGCTCGTCTATTTCGTCGCCCAATATTTATGTATTAGGTAATGACTAAGTTGAGCACTCTCGGTTGCCCAGTTTTATATGTCCACCATTAATTATCATTTTACATTCATCACTCAATAGGAACTCTAAAATCTAAACTCTTGTATTGTTATGAACACGTGAGACATTATTGTAGTTCAAGTTTATTATATTCTATTAATGTTTTATTGATTTATGAGGATGAGTGCTCTTTGTAAATTTTGATTCACATTTGCAGAATTGCTTCAATTGGGCAAATCTGTCGCTCCTCCTTTCCAGGTTTTACATGTAAATAATTGTCATGCTTTTAATTTACTCTTGTATGAGAAATTTTGGTGTAATGCTGATATGCTAAATTATCTTTATCATCATAATTTTTTTAGAATAGCAATAATAAATAACAAAGTTTTATATGGTACACACTAGTTGGTAGCTTAGTTTCCTGAGATGAGCTTAGGGTTTCGTTAAATGTGAAACAGAGCATCATTTTCTGGAATTATTATTTGAATTCTTTACCAAGTAATTTCATTCTACTATTTTTGTTTTTTCTGTGACTGGACTGGTACAACCATGAATGGGAATGATTGGAATGAACTGTTCGGCCTTGACTTCCTTACTTTCTATTTGATGCTGAGACATATGCTTTGAGTATATGCAGCTCTGACTGCATAGTTCGGATTACAATCAAAATTATCAAATTTGCTATTAATTGGTATTTCATGCGTTATCTTGTTTAGGGGTGTAAATGAGCAAAACACGAGCCGTTCACGAACAAAGAGTCTTTTTTGACAACCCTAATCATTTTAAGTTTTTTAATTTAATTTTTCTATTTCTATCACCAATGATTTAATATCCATATGTTAATTGGAAGAGCCACTCAAGAAAACAATTTAATTGACTAAATAAAATAAATCTTTGTAGCCTTGTTGTCAATTAATTTTTTTAAAAATTACTATATATAATATATATATATATATATATATATAGAGAGAGAGAGAGAGAGAGAGAGAGATAATTAATTAATTAGTAGTATTTCAAGCCAAAAGGAGCTGAACACGAACGAACAAATATTTGTTCGCATTGTTCGTGTTCGGCTCGTTAACTTAGCGAACGCGCTTAGCGAACGAGCCAAACACGAGCTTCTTAACGAGCTGAACACGTTGTTCGCGTACAACGAGCCGTTTTGACAGCCCTAATCTTGTTATTAATTTATGTTTCTTCTATTTTAAACTTTATTCTCTTTTTGTATCAGGTTTTGAGAAAGTTAGTTGATGATGCATCAAAGTTTTTAAATGACAAGGTCACCAAAGCTGTTGTCACTGTTCCTGCATACTTCAATGATTCCCAAAGAACAGCGACAAAGGATGCTGGTCGTATTGCTGGTTTAGAAGTCCTCCGTATCATCAACGAGCCAACGGCTGCATCTTTGGCATATGGTTTTCAGAAGAAGAATAATGAAACAATTTTGGTATTTGACTTGGGAGGTGGCACCTTTGATGTTTCAGGTACTTGAAAGATGTCTTTTAGTAGGGTTTTGCTATTGTTTTTCTCTTATGACCAATCTTCTTAGTTTCATGTCTCATCTTATGTTTGACTGAGGCATTTTTTTGTGGTACACTTGTTTCAGCATTTGAACTACCAATGCTTAAACAGTCAATTCAAAGCTTTTAAGGATCTTGAACCTCAGATGTAGAACAAACTGAGTGCCATATTTTGTTGGATTTTAATTAAAACTAGGAAAATAAGTGACTATTCTGTGATTTATATGGGTTTTGGCGAAAAGTTGCCACTGTAAAGGTTCAAATTTTTTCTGTAGTGCTTTGGAAGGTTTGACATGAATCCAAATATTCTTTATTACTATTATCTGCACATTTTTAAGTATGAAAGCTGATGTGATGCTTCACATCATTTCTTGCTTTTCATGTTGATGGTAGTCTTCATTAAATGGGTTCGAATAAATATTTATCTAACTTTTATTGTGTTTAATTAAACTGTCTTCGATTCTTTTCAAAGGAACGCTGGTTTGTTTGTTAATTTGTATTGATCATTAAATTTGTGAAGCATATATTATATTAGTAGAAAGATCATGAAAGGTTATTAGGAAATGAGGTGGTGGTTTCCCTGGGAAATGATATTCAAGCTTATCAGTCAAAGAAATTGCTATTTTTTTCATATTGCCTATTCTTGGATGTGCACCAGGTGGAGCAGGATGATTCAATGTTAGGGTTGTTTGATAAAATTAGTATGATGCTTGGTATGAATTCATTTGAAAGTTTGAGGGTAAATATTTTACAAGCTACGAATTAATTCAACAACTTGCTATCTTTAAATTTAAATAATTTATATTAAAATTAGAACTTAAAAGATAATGCAATGATAAAAATTTTTCAAGAAATTAAATGAGGAATTAGAAACACTTATTTTTAATGATCAGCTGATATTTATTTCTACAAATTGGATTTTAGCCTGTCAAACTTCTATCAAATTTAACAGCACTAAAAAATTCTACGTAAGGTTATGTAGATGAAGTAAAACAAGGAACAAAAATATGAAATTAATGCTGAGCCTATTATAAATATTAAGTGATATTTTTCCTCAAATTTAAGTACTTGTGTTTGTGCTACACTCAAATGAATCACAACTCAACTTTGCGCTAGAAAAATTGGAACTGAAGAAAGAATTTTTATGGTTATATGAAATCAATACTTTTAAATTCAAATAAATTTTATTTTTGATTTGAATTTCCCATAAATTTCTCATCCACAGTGAGAATTGTCAAAAACTTGTAAGGAATGGATCTTGTATTATGTATGTTGAGAATTTGAATAATATTTGATTGTAAAAAGTTTAATAAACAACTCACAATATCCACAAGTCCCCGAACAGATCATGCACTAATATCACAACCTAGAAACTTGAAATATGCAAACAAACATTGCCCTCGAATTGGCAATTTCAAAATTAAAGATGAGACCAAGTTTCTATTGCCTAAACCTAGAGAATGCCCATGCCCAAGTTAGTCCATCTATGAAGCATATATGCTAACACTAAACAAGGGCATTACATGACTATCAGGTGTGACAATCTTAAAAATTAAGGCAAGCAATTATGATCAATTTTTATAAATAAAATCTCAAAATGATATATAATACTTCAAATATCAAATGAAAAGCTTAATTTATAAGAAGAAGAAATTATTATTTGTTTAATTACACCTATATTTGAATATTTTAATATAGTATGCTTAATTGTCTACAAAGCATCAATATTAGTATTAATCACTCAACATAAATTTGTCAATATCAGCATTATGTTGTCTTGTGAAAGTTGCCAAAATAAAAAAAGAAGAGTTCATAGCATTCAAAGTGGCCCAAAACTATGATTTTACTAATCATTGAGACACGGCATCATGCTTATCAATACTATTAATAGCATCTACTTATTACAATTTTTACTGTTTTGGATAAAAAAATTGTTTGTAAGATGGCTCGGACATAAAATTACATTTCATTGATGCATTTTCTATTTGTGTTGAAGGTGTCTAGGTGTCTCCTGATTGTGTTCAATTCTGCTTTTGGTAAAAAATATTAAACATGATTTTCATTGTGTTAGACACTCGTCTGGGTGTGTCAAAGTTATTCATGGTAGACATGGATGCAAAAGGCATTTTTAAGTGTCAATATTTCATATGAATCCACACGACAATGCCACTTCTCCAAACAAACAACATTGCAACACAAAGCACAAAGCCTGAGAATCCACATTCACGTGAGTAGCCAACATCAAATTAAAATAATTTTAAGAGGATGAGACCAAGATCCTTCCCAAAACAAAGGCATATAGTTCCAAACTAAAGGAAGCCCAAGTGTTATACTGCTTCAGCGGGCCTTGAGTTGTGGTTGATTGTGAAACACTGAATAATTTTGACTGGCCTGCAGCCATTGACATGTCAATTACTTTTATTTCTTTCTTTGCCGCATGCTTTAAAACTCATTATCTTAAGGATGATTCTTGCAGTTCTTGAGGTTGGAGATGGCGTTTTTGAGGTGCTGTCTACATCTGGTGATACTCATCTTGGTGGGGATGACTTTGACAAGGTTAGTGATATTGTGTTTAGAAGATGTTTTATTGTTGTAGTTTATCATTGCATGGGGATGAGAGCTGTTTATGAACTTCACTTCTATTTAGTTGTGTTACTAATTGCAGTGAACACAACTTGCTCATTTATTGTGATCTTTTGACCATTTGGTATACCCAAATTCTAATTGTTTTTGGTGGTAAACGACCATCTTTTATGGCATTATGGCAGCGCATTTGTGATCAATTTTTTTTTTTTGCTAACGTTTTATCTTGATACTTATCAATGTAGTACCTCATTGTTTATTTTTGTAAATTGCTCTTTGCGTTTTGGATTATCTTAATAGATGTTTATTATGCGAATATACCAAAAGATTTGGGCTATTTTAATACCTTTAACAAGATTATTTATTTATTTAATGAAATGATGTGTTGAAATTATTAAAACTGTTATTACTTTGGGCAGAGGATTGTTGACTGGCTTGCTTCGAACTTTAAAAGGGATGAAGGAATTGACCTTCTAAAGGATAAACAAGCACTCCAGAGACTAACTGAGACAGCTGAGAAAGCTAAGATGGAGTTATCAACTTTAACTCAGACAAATATCAGGTCAGAAGTTTCTACTCTTGTGCATTCTTTTCCTGAATTTTCTGCTATTAGAACGTTACATCGTTATCATTTTCATCATGCTTATCCTCATGTAGTTGTCTAGCTGGGCTTTTCTAAGTAATTTCATTCTCTTCAGTTTGAATGTTAAGTTTTTTAAACCATTTATTCTATTGGAATGTCAAAATGAAGGGGATAATGCTTTGATATCTTGTTGTTTTTATTATTAACATCATATTATTATTTTTTTTTAAATCTTTCTTTATATTGACAGCTTGCCGTTCATTACTGCTACTGCTGATGGCCCCAAACACATAGAGACAACTATCACAAGGGCAAAATTTGAGGAACTATGCTCGGACCTTCTTGACAGGTTTTCATCTAATCGATAATGAGATGTTGTGCCTCTTTTCTCCAGATGGTTTTTACTAGAACTATACTTGAATGTACCATCATTGCAATTCTATAGCCTGATTTTCATAAAGAATTTTATTTTTTGAGGATCTCTTATTAGTAAACTATGTTTTTAATGTATAGCAACTGTTAGTTTAAGCTCTTTGTGGACGGTATTTTATATTTTTTATGTTTTCTTTTGCAGGCTTAGAACTCCTGTAGATAATTCCTTAAGGGATGCAAAACTATCAGTCTCGGATTTGGATGAGATTATCCTTGTGGGTGGACTTTCCTGCTGTGCAGGAACTAGTGAGAAAGATAACTGGAAAGGAACCAAATGTAACAGTTAACCCTGATGAGGTTGTTGCCCTTGGTGCTGCAGTTCAGGTTAGCATTTGTTAAATTTAATTTCAATCGTGATTTATTATTATTATTATTATTATTATTTTTCTAACTGACACTATACGTGCACATGCATCTAAAGTTGCGGTAGGAATTAAACTTCAATGACAACCTCTGTTCTCCACAATAATGAGTAATTAACCAGTTTGATGTTTTTTTCATTTAAGCTGCTTCTATCCTGCATGACTGGAATATTCTTTCCTATAACTTGGAAAAACATATTATGTACTTTCAATATCTCAACTTTGAAAGGGACAAAGTTTGAATAAGTTTATAATTATTAATAATATTAGTATTTAGTTTTATTGGTTATCAGGAGTTAAAGCTAGTGAAAGGTGAGGGCAGGTATCCAGGATAATTTGTCAAATTAAATGTTTCACTCCCAATTATTTATGCTATCGGTAATGACGTTTCATAATATGCTATGAATTCAGTGAGCACTGCTGTAAGTGATGAGGTGGCATTGTCACAAATTATTTTCAGTGCATCTGTGATAGATTTTAACTCGTATAAAATTGGTTTGAGTCATGAGTTTGAAACCTTTAATTGGGCGGTAGGATATTGCTTGAAAATGGTAATGATGGCCTCATTAAGCTTTTGCTGACTTCAAGATAATAATGATTCCGTCAAATTATTGCCTTTTCATTATTAATGACCAAAGCAAGTGATAACTATCTTTACTGCCCTGCATAGTAATGGAAAGTAAAATGTCTATGAAAAAAAAAAAAAAGGATAAATTGACCCATTAATTCATCAGTTAAGGAGTCAGTAATAGTGCCAAGTAAAGATCTAAGCAATGAGATGAAATTTTAGTAGTTGAAGCACTAGGCTATCACATATCCAACAATTTATATATTACTGCATTAACGTAATTTTAAATAAATTGGAGATTATTGGGTTGTTAGAGTGGAAAATTATTTTATGTAATAATTCAAGTGCAAAAAATCTCTGTGAACTTTCCTTGTTCCATTTTAAGTTACTACAGAAGAAAAAATGTAGGACAACACTGATTTTAACGTTAGCATAAAACTTACTAAAAGAGAGGTTGGGTAATCCGATGGAGCATTTTCAAATAGTAAATTGATTTGCTCATGTGATTCTTGAAATAAGTTAGCTATGTGTGTTTTTTTTTTCCTACAAAATAAAATGTCATATTTACTTGTCTTCTAAAGAAGAACAGAACTGCTTGAGGATATGAAATTTTTGAAAGATTTGGGACATTTTCCTAAAATAATTTTTTGGGGTTAGCAAGTTCAAATGGTCGAAAATAAAACATCTCATCTGCGCGAAGATCACAATTAGTGAAAATTTAATGTAACAAAACCCTACATCTTATTAAGCTTGCAATTTGGTAACAAGTTCAAATATACCGAAAAAAATGGAGATTGAAAACAAAAATTGGTGATGTCAGATCTTGCTCTGATGAACCATATTTTATGAAAATTGAAATAGACTCTTTGAAAATAAGATGGAATGGTTGAAAAAATATTTAAAGAAGATTTGTCTTGAAAGATGACAGTTGGGGTTATGATGGGCAGTTGGGGTTGTGACGGGCAAAGTAGACATAACGGCTTTTTATAATATTAGAAAAAACTAACTGATAGTAAATTTGTTCTCTTTTATTTTTCAAATTTTTTGAGGCAGCAGAGCAACAATAACTCCGGTGGATGTGGAATATTTTTAGAGTTTGATAAATTATGAAAAAAAAAAGTAAAAGAAAAATAAGATGATTATTTCTTGAAAGTCAATGAATTGCAATTTCTGAAAAGGAACGACAAATCTTACCATTATGGTAAAGGTGATAGAATTGGAAGTGAAATATTTGATTGACCTTGAGCTCCTTCCAAGTATCAAAGTGGGCTCAATCATTATACTTCTCGATTTTAGATCAAAAGTTTGGGTGAAGCACTATTAAATAATAATGGAGCTGGAAGCAGAGACTTTCAACTATGCAAGCTACTGAAAAATATTATTTTAAGATTTCCAGAAGGCATTAACTCATGACGGGTGAACACTATTAAATAATGTTAGGAGAGTTTTTCAAGGATAGCTAATATATAATGGGTTACATTGTATTAGGAAAATGCTGAACATTTGTTATACAAAATATTTAAAGATAATACCCTGGTAGGATCAAAATCAATGAAAATAATTCTAAAAATTTAAAGCATATTTCACTTTAAAGATGTGAAATTTTGGATACAAAAATCAGCGGAAGAAATAAAGAATACTAGAAATTTGTTGTAAATTACTAAAATATTTTAACATAAGTGTGAGAAGATTTTACCATAGTTAAGAAGAAAGTCGATGGATGTATTAACCTGAAAGCTTCACCCCTATTGGTATTAAATAATTGTGAAGGCTTCTCCTTCTATTAGCTCCATAGGTGACAACAAAAGAACAAAACCAAACTCATCATTTTTGCTGAATCTATAATGGCAACTTACTTCTTGAAAGGATAAAACAAATGATGGGTCAGCACTATTAAATGATGTTAATGAAGAAAGTTACTGGGAAAGTTATTGTTAAGTTCTTTTCTCAAAGAACGTTGCTATGGTAACCATGCGGAAAACACCGAGGTCTGTTAGTTGTCACCACTCATTGCTCTAGATATTTGAATATCGGTTTAGTATATATGAAAGATATGATAACTTTATTTATTTATTTTTTTTTTTTGTGAATTGAGCTTTTTCATTATGTATATTAAGCATATCTTTATATATATGAATTATGTTATGAATAGAAAACATAATCAATTTCAAGTTGATTTCTAAACTTATTCAAGCCAAGCATGTTGAATCTATAAAATATTTTCTAAACCTAATTAATGTTACTTGTAAATTTATATATATCTATAAAAAACTTAAATTAATTTTGTCTATAATATTTCTTAATAAAGTTATCTATAATTTAAGTTTTACATTTCCATGTGTGAAGAGTCATTGTTCTATTTTGATCCCTTTTTATGAATATTTGATCAATGATTAAATTGAATGAGAAAATGGAGGAAATTTGATGTCCTATATAATTTCCGTGATCTATGTATGTTTTTTAAAAATGATTCTTTCAAATTATTTGTGGTGTTTCCATTTGGGCGATACACTTGCATGTTTAATGCATCTTCACATCATCTTGAATGTTTATGAAATTATAGATCCTACTACTTGACGCACGTTGCAGATTATGATTTGGTCTTGATTTGTCAGTAGGATATTGATTGATTGAACAACAAGCCGAAATGAAATTGTCTGAAGATATATCCATTTAACAAAAGTATTTCTTTGGAAGTAAGGCCAATATATCACCTTGTAACATCCCTGGTTAATGCCATTGGCTTAAAAAATTTTCGGCTTGGTGTGGATTTTTTTTTTAACTTCCACTGTAATTATTAGAAGTAATTTTGATTTGTGAAAAATAAGCCTTTCTCCAATTTCCGCTGTGATTAATAAAAGCAATTTTGATGTGAGAAATAAGCCTTGAAAGCTTCCAATTGGCCCAAACATGCTCCGTGTGTTCATGAGCGCAGAGAACACTCTAATGTTGAGCGCCGCATCAACATATGGTGGGTTATGCCTATTTTAATCATGCAGTTCACTAATAGCACAGCAACTCAGTTGTGTACCCTAGAAAGCATTTAGCCGTCTCATGTGTCCCTGGTGGATTTTATCGTTCAGAGCAACTTCCGATTATTTAAATGTGTAATTCTAACAAGCTTTTTTCTAAGTGGAATGAGTATATTTAAATCAATTTTATTAACATTGTGTAATCACAATTGAAGGAAAAAAAAAAAGAATATTTTGAATTCCATATTCCTGAATGGTGATAAATTTATGGTTTTATTTTGGTTCTTTTAATTTTGTTAGCTATGCACTACATTTTTTATCATCTTTTGTACGGAATTTTGTGTTTTTCTATCTTCAGGCTGGAGTATTGTCCGGAGATGTCAGTGACATTGTTCTTCTGGACGTGACACCTTTATCTCTTGGTTTAGAGACATTGGGTGGCGTGATGACAAAGATTATTCCAAGAAACACCACACTGCCCACCTCTAAATCAGAGGTCTTCTCGACCGCAGCAGATGGTCAGACTAGTGTCGAGATCAATGTTCTGCAGGGTGAAAGAGAATTTGTGAGGGACAACAAATCATTAGGAAGTTTCCGTCTTGATGGAATTCCACCAGCACCTCGTGGGGTACCACAGATTGAAGTCAAGTTTGATATTGACGCCAATGGCATTCTCTCTGTTACTGCAGTGGACAAGGGTACTGGAAAGAAGCAGGACATCACCATTACAGGGGCTAGCACGCTGCCCAATGATGAGGTGTGTTTCTGTAGATCCTTGTCATTTTTCAATTTTTGGTTCTGATCTTGTTTAGCTCATAATGAATTCAATGATAATTCAAGTACTAAGGTTGGATTTTAGGTTAGAAACTTGCTCCACTAATGGTCTTGTGCTAACCTGTTTTTTTATTTTTATTTTTATCTACTTATTTTTATATCATTCAATGTCATATAGGTGGATAGGATGGTAAAAGAGGCAGAGAAGTTTGCAAAGGAAGACAAGGAGAAGAGAGATGCCATAGACACCAAGAACCAAGCAGACTCTGTAGTGTATCAAACTGAGAAGCAGTTGAAGGAGCTGGGAGAGAAGGTTCCTGCTGCTGTTAAAGAGAAGGTTGAGGCCAAACTCAAGGGGCTCAAGGATGCCATCTCTGGTGGATCAACTCAGAGCATCAAGGATGCAATGACTGCTTTAAATCAGGAGGTGATGCAGCTTGGTCAGTCCCTCTACAACCAGCCTGGTGCACCTGGCACTGGCCCAGCACCTGGTGCTGATGCTGGTTCTACCGGCGGAGCTAGCAAGGGACCCGATGGTGGTGATGTGATTGATGCCGATTTCACTGATAGTAAGTGAAGGTTTTGAGGGAAGGCTGTGAGATGATTGTTTATTTAATGGCGAAAAATTGCATTAAGTACTGAAATAAACTTAATTGCTCTTTTTGCACACATGTTAGGGGCCATGTATTTGTACTGCAGCTTTATATGACTTGCTCACCAATTGTGGAATTTTGATATTAGTGTAGTTAGAAAGCTGGGGTTTTAAGCATGTGTAGTGTTTTGCAACGGTTCTCCGTATGATTTATGGCATATTTATTGTTTTTCCGTGAACAGTAGCATTTTTTTTTTGGTTTTTTCAGAAGAATTAAGCCTTAATAAACTAAGTAAGATGTTTTTAAATGGTTAGGCTAAGATTGATGATGAAAGCTGTAGAAACTGCACTGAGATGGAAAACAGTTTTGGAGACTGGAATTCTTCTGGCCAATTTTGAGTTCTCTTCACTTTTTCTTTATTTTTGTTGGCAAGAAATGATGCTAAATGTAACGGTTTGGAGCTTATGGTCTTAAATTCGATTATTCATCGACTCGCCAAAAATAAGATGATTTCGGTTGTGCTAGTTTTGATTCCATAAAAATTCTTTATATGAGAATTTCATCCGACAAATAATATGGATTTTGAATTTGTGAAATTAATTGCAATATCATAAAATTTTTTTAAACATCGAATTGATTCAATAACACGAGGATGTGGAAATTATTTTTTTTAATAAAATAATAAATCTTTGACCATTAATTTGATCTTCTTTATCGTTGATTTTGAGATGTTTTAAATATTTAACCCCTTCAATTGATGGTGTGTGCTTTTATTAAAAGGGAATAAGTTTAGGGATCCCAAATTTAATTAATTTCATTTACAATTGGAATTATTATCTCCTCATAACTTAATTTGGACAATATTAATATTCAATTGAAAAATTAATTTCTCGCAAATAAAGGTGTAAAAATCAAAATTATCCTAATTGGTTTAAGTTTAAAAATCGTCGTTGTTGGTCCCAAGCCTGGATGTGAAAAATAAAGAGTTGCGTTAGATAGTCGATAGTCAACATAAAACTTGTTGAAATAAAATTATGACATGAATCTTTTTAAACATTGTGTAAGTGCTATGACTTCCTCTGAAAGTGATGCACTGTACAATTTGAATACAGTGAAAATTGTGCAAGGGTTGCTACATCGGCGCTCGGGTGTAGTGTTAAATAAATAAGAGTTCTCACATTACAAACAAATGCATGTAAGAAAGTTAATACATGAAACTAATGAAACTAATATTAGGATAGGATCTTGGAATATAGATAAGAGTCAAAGCTAATATGTAAAAATTAATAGAGTTGGAGATAAAATTATAGCCATAAAGATTATTACTGATATTAAGATTTTTAATATTATAAGTGTTTATGCTTCTCAAATAGATTTAAATATAGGGTCTGAAGATAAATTCTGGAATGACTTAGAAGATTTAATACAAATGATACTTTTTCAAAAAAGAAATTTAATTGGAGGAGATTTAAATGGACATGTCGGTAGAGTGGTAGAAGAATTCAAAAATATTTATGATAGCTACAGTTTTGGAGTGATTAATGAAGAAGGTAAAGTCATTTTAGATTTTGCTTTGGCGTATGATTTTGTTATTACGAATAGTTTATTCAAGAAAAGAGATGAGCATCTTATTACTTATAAGAATAGATCTTATAAAACACAAATTGATTATTTTCTTATGAGAAGAAGAGATCTTCGAGATTGTAAAGAGGTAAGGTCATTCCAAGTGAGGACTCAAGTACCCAACATGATTATTAGTTCTAGATTTTAAGATGAAGAGTTGTAAAATAAAGAATACTAGGACTCATCATCGTAGAATTAGATGGAGAAATCTAAGAGACATAAAATTATTTTTATGAATAAAATTCAAGATCTCAAAACTTGGGATTTTCATGAAGAAGCAAATGTTATGTGGGATAAAGTAACAAACACTATTAAACCAGTAACAAAAGATGTACTTAGAGAATCAAAAGAAAAAAGTTTATATAAACAAAAATAATTTGTGGTGGAATAATAATGTGCAAGAAAAGATAATTATAAGAAAACATGTTATAAAAATTGGTTTAAATGTAAAAGCATAGAGAACTAAGAAAAATTTTGAATGAAACGCGAGGAGTCTAAAAGAACAATCTGTGACGCTAAAAATTCTGCTTTTAGTGATCTTTATAATATATTAGATATTAAGGAGAGTGAAAAATATATTTATAAACTAGCCAAAGAAAGAGAAAAAGAAAAGTAAAGATTTAATTCAAGTAAAGTGTATTAAAGATGAAAATAAAAAATTGTTTTTCTTAGAAAAAGATATTCAACATAGGTGGGTGAGTTGCTTTGATAATCTTTTTAATAAAGTTTATGAAAACACAATGGATCTTAGTGATCTTAATATTTTTAATAATAATAAAACGTTTCATTTTTACCGTCGCATTAGTAAAAAAAAAGTTAAGGAGACTTTAAGGAAAACCAAGGGTGGAAAGTCTGTAGGACCTGATGATATCCCAATTGAAGTGTGGAAATTTTTAGGAGATTTGTGAGTTTCTTGGCTTACTAAAACTTTAATAATATTTTAAAAACTAAAAATATGTCTGAAGAGTAGAGGAAGAGTAGTTTGGTCCCCATTTTTTAAGAATAAAGGGGATGCACAAGAGTATGCAAATTATAGAGGAATTAAGTTGATGTGTCATACTTTGAAATTATGGGAGACGGTAATTGAACATAGGTTAAGACAACTTACTAACATTTCTCGTAATCAATTTGGATTTATGCCGGGCGGGTCTACTATGGTAGCTATACATTTGGTGAGAGGTTTGATGAAGAAGTTAAAAGAAAATAAGGATGTGAGTATCTACATATGATTTTTATTGATGTAGAATAAGCTTACGATAAAGTTCCTTGAGATATTCTTTGGGGAGTTCTTGACAAGAAAGGTGTTGATATGAGTTTTATTCAAGTCATTAAAGATATGTATACCAGGGATGTTACTTGTGATCAAACTGAAGGAGGATTGACCAACTATTTTCCTATTTCTATTGGATTACATGAGGGATCGGCTTTCAGCCCACATCTTTTTGCTTTAGTTAGTTATGGATGGTCTTACTGGACATCTACAAGAGGATGTACCTTGGTGTATGCTTTTTGCCGATGATATCCTTCTCGTGGATAAGACGAGAGAAAAAGCCCAGGAAAAACTTAAATTATGGAGGTCTACATTGGAGTCTAAAGGCCTTCATTTGAGTAGAACTAAAACTGAATACATGGAATGTAATTTTATTAGTAGTAGCTCTAGTTGCATAAGTGTTACTTTAGGTGATCAAATTATTAAAAGATGTCAACGATTTAGATATCTCGGGTATGTTGTTCAAAGTGATGGTGATATAGATGGGGATGTTAATAGTAGAATTCAACTTGGTTGGTTGAAGTGGAGGAATGCTTCGGGCCTTTTGAGTGATAGAAAAGTACTCCGTAGACTGAAAGGAAAATTTTATTAGAGGGTGGTGAGACCTGCAATGCTCTATGGCGCTGAATGTTGGCCTTTAAAAGAGAAGCATAATACTAAGTTAGGTGTTGTCGAGATGAGAATGATTAGGTGGATGAGTGGCTTTACACTTAGAGGCAAAAATGCGAAATGAATATCTTCGTGATAGGGTTAGTGTAGCTCCAGTGACGGACAAAATTAGAGAGAGTCGTCTTAGATGGTTTGGTCGCATTAAACATCGACCATCTGATGATCTGATTCAGAGAGTAGATGTTTTAGATTCGACGTATGTTAATCAAGGCAGAGGTAGACCTAGGAAGACTTGGGCTTATTGTATAAAAAAATGATCTTAATTTATTAAAACTAAATAAAAACATGACACTACATAAGACGCAATGGAGAAAAAGGATTCATGTAGCTGACCCCATGTAGTGGGATTAAGGCTTTGTTATTATTGTTGTATTAAGAATTAAGTTTATGGATCATGAAATTGAGTATTATCTCTTATGTATCATAATGATTATATTTTTTATACATAAATGTATATTTTTAATGAATAAACTCTATATTTATTCTAGATCCAACTTAGTGATGTATCTCATATAAAGAAAATGTGTATACATAAGCATTATGTCATGAGTAGAAATATTTTACAAATTAATATAGAAAAGATCATCAGATAATATATCATTCTCAAAAAACATAGATTTGTAATATACTTAAAGCTTAAATTTGTACAGGGTTAAGGGAATGACACAAAGTTATCTTAAAATTGAAACTAAATTTATAGAAAAATTAGGTACATAAGAAGTATTCGTTAATTCCAAAGTAAAACCACTATTAAGTACAAGATAACATGTTTCATTAGCTTTCACGTGAGCACATCTAGTTTCCTGAATAGATGTGTTGCTGCGCACTTCCCACTAGTTTCCTTAGATTTTACATATCTTGTAAGGTATTGCAAATATAAATTGTATAACTAGAATCAATTCACCAAGTGTTATAAATAATGCCATATTAGACTCATAAAAGACAAATGAGATTGTCATATTTTTTTGTCAAGCCAACACTGAATTTGTTGCAATCCTTCTTCATGCGCCCCTTCTTTTTATAGAAGAAACACTCAAAATTATTTTTTTTTACTTTAGCTTGAGGTGGTATTTTACCTTTTCCTTTCTTCTTAATTTGGCTTAGACTCTAGTATCTTTTGTGTGTCGCTAATATTGCACTCACCTATTTTCATAGCCAAACTCTCTCTTGAACACACATGGTCATATATTTATTAATTGACATTTTCTCTATATATTTGTTATAAGATATCATAAATGGATCATATTATTATGGAAGGGTGTTCAAAATATAGTGCACTAAAAAAAAACTGACATCTCAACCTCAAGAGTTCAATTGAGTTGCAATGTCCAACATTTTCATAATGTGCTCCCACACATCTTTTATTCCAATTAATTTCAGGGATAATAACTCCATTATTAGGATACTAACAGGAGTTTTATCTGAAGTGCTAAATTGTTCATTAGTTGTTTTTATTAGCTTTTTACTATTGCTATGCCGATCAACTGAATCATGTATACCGACATATATATTCACTTTTATTAAAATCAAACTGAGGTGATTAGACCATACCTAATTTTCATAAAGTGTGATATCATCAATACTGATGGTTTCAATAATTGTAGAGGGTTCATCTTTCCTAATAGCATAATCAACGTCCATACGACTTAAATAAAAAAGAATTCTCTTATTTCATATTTTAAGGATTATAATTTCACACTTAATATCAAATATGCTTACTACTTTTATAACAACAAAAATTAAATAAATTAAAAACATACTTATTATAAAAAATAGATTACGCTGACAAACATAGATCATGGCTTACCTGAAGTTAACAAAACATGACATTTTAGTCAAAATAAATAAAAATGACACTCTTACGTTTATTTATGATAACTACGATATGAATTGGCTTTAGAATTTTGAATATATAAATGGATTTCTATGTTATACAGAAGCTCTTAATACCATCATTTCCTACTAAATAACAAAATGGAATCCTCTTAAGGAATTCATCTAGGATATTTACATCATTTTGTTAAGGGGAAAAAAAACTAGAATTAATTTTATGCAGGATCAAAGAGCAAATATTGAATAAAATGACAATTCTCAAATCTCAAAAGGAAATGTACAAAATTCATATTTCTATAATGCAATAAATTGAGCTTTTCATTGTTGCTATTTATAGAAATAAAAATATAAAAATTAATTGTTGAATTATAACCATATTTTTGTAAATCAACAATCTGTAAATTCAAGATCAAATGGCTAAATAAAACATCAAAAACCATAAAATAATGTTGTTCATATATAATGCGAAAATTTTCAGATATTTGTGTTTTATACAAAGTCAAAAATGGAAACTTAAATCTTGAATTTTGACAATTTCAATAGTATCAAAATCAAGATAGAGGTGTTGTTCAACTTGCTCTGATACTAAATGTTAAGCTTGATTATTCGTCGACTCGCCAAAAGTAGGAGTCAATTTTGTTTGCCTTAGATTCCATTCAATAAAATATCTTTAAATTAGAATGTTATCCAACAAATAATAATAATATACAAAATTAGATTTTTAAATGAATGAAACTCATTTCGACCTTATAAATTGTTTCAAACAATGAATCGATTCTATAACAATAACGTGGAAATTAATTTCTATAAGTAACATATCTCTGGTCAATGATTTGATCTCATTTATTATCAATTTTGAAATCTTTTAAACATTCTTCTCTCTCTAATTGATGGTGTCTGCTTTTCTTAAGACAGATAAGTTCAGAGAGCCCGAACTTAATTAATTTCATTTTATTTATGCTCATTGGCGGCACAAAATGTTGCGGTGAAGCAAGTCGGCCGAATCACGCAAGCATCCACGTAAGTAATGCTGCGTTAAAGAGTACTGCGTATCGATCCCATGAAGAAGGACCTGAAGACTATTTTTATGGGTAAATCTCTAGTTTACTAACGTCTAAAACTAGTTTAGCATGATTACAAACAAGAGATGATTTTCTAAAATCCTACTGAAAAAAAAAACAAAAGATAATGAGGTTGGAAAACACAGAAATAACGATAGACAAATCTTATAGTTCTTCAAGGGATATGATGGTCGCGCTCTCATGATTTAGGTATTGTGGTGGTTCGTAGTATTTCTAGACTTCCCTCTACGTGATAGTTGTCAACAGGTAAAGAAAGTCCTTCTTATGCTTATGTCTTGGTCAAAAGAAGTTTCGAATCCATGAAGTTGAGACTTTCTTAATTCCCATAGCATCCCGCGGATTTGTTCTAATCCTCTTTCTAGGTTGCAAAACTCGAATAAAATATGCATATTCTTACCTGAATTTTTTGGTTAACAATTTCATTTCTCCGCTCAATGGGTAGGAGTTAAAGATCACGAAATATGTTAAAATTCTAGTTGACCAGATCATGAGTAAATTAAATTCTATGTTTAACTCAACAGCTTAAGCCCTGGTTCCTCAGGAAAATGATATAAGGAAAGAAATCAATTGAGAAAATCATGAAAATCATATCCCATGAATCACAAAGGCGTGAAACAAAAATTGGCTACGCATGATAGAAAAAACATCGGAAAAACATTCCAACAAAATTATTGTTGGAAATAAAACTGAAAGTTAATAACTTACAAAACAATTTGTTCACTCGTCCATAGTAGCAATTCTCTCTCCCATATAATAAGCTCTCAATATATGTAAGGAAATATAAAGAAATATGTAAGGAAAACCCATAGGAACTCAATCTAAAGAGAGGAAGTGAAAACCTAACGAAGAAGCTATTCAAAACCTCACTTCTACTCTTCAGCCATTTGCAGATCTCTCCTCCTCCTTTAAATGCCTTAAAAGTGCATTTATATAGCAAAATTCATAAATCTAGCAAGAAAAATTCTTGCCAAAATAGGTTCCCATTTTGTCAGCGTGTGTTGACCTCACTTTTGGTTGAGGTTTAGTGTTTCCTCTTTAGTAGCCTAAAGTCTAGCCATAGAACTTTCCTATTGACTATTCTTAGAAAACTAGAGAAGGAACCCTCACCATTAGAAATTCTACACTCCATTTTACTCAACTTGAAGTTCCGCATATTGGTCCTAACCTCTAGCATTTAGTAGGTGGGGTCATTATGAGGGAGCTTAAGGAGAGTCCCCTTAGGACTGCTGGACCTTAGGATTGACCCTGGGTGTTGGTCTAGGGCTTAAGGTACATACTTGCACTCACAATCACTCACAATCCTAAACTTAAACTTCTAGGCTTTGGTCCCTTGATACTTTTGGGAGACTCATGTAGGTGATCCCCTAAACCCACTAGCCCTAGGCTAGGGTTTAGCTAAGACCAGTGCATAGAGGACCCAAAATGGGGTTTACATTGGTCCATGGCTTATTGATGGTGGTTGACACCCCAAATTCTACAAAAAATATCCAACTTAGCCCCCAAACTCCCTCAAATTACCTAGATACCCTTGAGACCCTAAATTTGGCCAAAATTCTCAAATTTATCCAAAATACTCAGGTTGGTTCAAAGATCATTTCAAATACATTGAAAACACACAAACTATCCAAAATCACCAAAATTTGCCAAATTACCAAAATACCCCTCCTTAGCCCAAAATTCCAAAAAAATTCAAAAATTCCCAAAACCTCCCAAATATTCCAATTTTTTTTCCTCAACTATCACATGACCCAATTTGACCAATTTGACCATCTTTGATCAAAACCCCCTAATTGCCCTTTAAAGGCCCATATTTTTTCCAAACCTACCTCAAATGTCTATCCAATTGGTCTCAATTTACCCCAATTTAAATTCTAAACTCAAATCCACCCTTGATATGACCAATATAGACCAAACCCAAGACCAATTGGTCCATGATTTGAACCCAATTTTGAGCTAAGCAAAAAACCCAATTTTGGCCCTATGACTTGGTTCCACCAAATTGAACCCATGGCCTGCTCTATTTGCCACAATTTATGTTAAAAAATCTTCATAACATTCCTACACATCAAATTTGACCTTCAATTGGCCTTGTTAAAGCCGCAATTTCATTTAATTTCAACTTAAGTCCAAAAATCCTCAATTTTGCCTCAAATTAGTCATGTCCTCAAACTTCACCAAATTTAGGGCCTTAACCCCAAAATTCCCACTCTATGTCTTCATGAAAAATCTTCACAACATCTCCCTTGATCAAGTGGAACATTCAATTTGGACTTAGCCCAAGGATAGCCCAACCTAGACCCATGTCTAACCCAACATGCCTAAATTGACCAAATTTCAAAAATCCCTCAAATTGACTCACCAATTAAACTTAAAATCACTTCAACCCTTCACCAAAAATCTTCATAACAATTATATACACAATGTTGAGCAATAAATTGGGTCAATTGATATGGCTAGCCTAGCCCAAACCCAAGTTTTGATCACTTGGACCCACATTGAACCCATGCACTAAAGGTGGCCTAACTATCCTAAAGTCATCAAATTAATGACTCCACAACCATGAATTGGACCCTAGTTACCAGCCTAAACCCCATGAAACCACTTAAGCTAAGTCATGGACCAAAGGTCCCCTATATCAAGGGATTTAATGCCATATTTGCTTAAGCCTTGGATATTTTTGCCAAAACAAAGCCTAAAATCATTAAATTGTTGTGACATATTCACCAGGCTCACCTGACCCCACTAACCACCGCCCCTGGCCGGCTGGCCGGCCTAATG